CGTTGACGTCCAGTCCGTGCTCCAGTGTATCCCACAATGAATCATGCAACGAGGAGAATAAAAGATAGGAATCAGGGAGTGCAAATTATCCAAAAATAATAATTTTGGCATATAAAAATATAACCAAAGTATACCTTCGAGAAGGGTCACTCGATGGCGGTGAAAAAGGGGAAGTTTTTCTTGCAAAGGAAAAGAAGCTTTCACCTCTTCGAACAGCGACGCCGCTCGCTGTCCAGCGACGTCGAGGTGCTCCGACGAAGTATCTGGCCGCCGGGAAGGTCGGACGGCTAGGTAGAGGAGTTAGCCCGCCGGCGGTGCGCACCGGGAGCGAAAGAAACGCGGAGGAGAGCCCAAAATATGTCGTTCTCTTCGTCGATTTTTTCTGGCGTAAATATGACACCGACGAGGCATAAAGGTCGGTGAGGAAGAGATCCGTCGTAGTTTTGCAGGCGAGGAAAGAGGCCGAGACCGAGGGGCTGCGAGCCAGGGCACGTGAAGGAAATTTTTGGTCAGAAGAAGGGGCTGCCGGGGTTGGGGAAGAAGATCTGGTCGGCGGTTTTGATTTTCGCGGGCGGGATCGCCGGCGGCATCGAGTGGGAGGCGGGATTCCAAATGGGGGAGGCGGCTACATGAGTTTTCGCAAAATCGGCGATAGGGAGGAGAGAGAGACCGATTCAGCGAAGGAGGGACGCCGGAGACGGCGGCGCTGAGTTTCGCCGGCGAGGAGGAAGGTCCGGCGGGCTTCTTCTCCCAGAGAACGGCGAAGAGGGGCGGTTTCGCGGACGAGGGGGGAGAGTCGCGTGCGATCGGGGAGAGAGCCAGGAGAGAGTGTGTGGGTAGGTTTTAAAAATATAATAATATAATATATTATATTATAATTATAATTATTATATTATTATAATTATTCTTTGTCTATTTTTCACCCGTATACGTCCTCGCGGCGAACTGAACATCCTTCTTTCCTAAAATCGACGTTCCGGACGCGTTATTTTGTGCTTTTCCCCCCCGCCCGCGAAGCCGTAGCGAAGTGGACATCCCCCGTAAGTGAAATTGATGTTCCAGACACAATGGCGGGGTCCATTTCATCATCCGAGGTCATCTAGACAACTTTGCCGACAATCTGGTCAATTTGAGCCAACTTCGTGCGCGGCGCGACGTATAAAATTTATTGATACTCGTGATATCCAAAAACTGATGCCAACAAAGGATCATATTGATGAAAACACAGCTGATATGTTGATCAAGTCAGTTACTATCAACAAGTTCTTGCATTGCTTGGACTTGTTGAATGTCTGAGTTGCAATAGAAGCATGGTGGCCCTACCCACATTGGTGCAGGTGTAACTCCTAGGTATTTTTTCTCCTAAGGGGTTGGATATTCGCCAAGGTGGAGATTTGTTATGGTATGACTCATATACCATATAGGGACAGATGCTGGATCGAAGCAGAGCGGAGCGGAGTGAAAGAATCTGTCCAAATCGGGAAGTTACGTTACGTGGATTGAGGGTGCGGGGGCAAAACCCCGCCGTACGATACAGGGGTAATGTTGTAATTATATATTGTACTTAGGTTTTACTCCTGAGGTTATAAATGGACATATTTAGTAACCCCAGGAGATCCCAAAATTATGTAATCCATTTTCTGAATATTTTAAGGAATCGCCGCTTTGCTCCCGAGGACGTAGGCATCTATGCCGAACCTCTTTAAATCTTTGTGTTCTTCTGGATTTGTGTCGAGTTATGTTTTTCTTCGCCCTAATTACTCAACAGTTCTCAAACGAAACCTTAAGGTCGTTGCCAATGCACGTCAAAGTGGATATTTTTTTTTATTTTTTGAAGAACTATGATGATATAACAATATGTTTATTGGGACTTTACTCGTACTCAATTTATAATCCTTTGGCCACCCTACAATTATGTTATATGTGTTATGGTTATCTAAATGAAAACTTGTATTTAATTAGCTCTGTTTAACGAGAAAATATTATGTCCAGTCAAAGGAGGTGCGGACGACGGCGTGCATTGCACTATGCCGCCGAACGCATGGCGTGATGCGATTTGCAACGCTGTCTGCAACCTGGTGGATGGAGTCCCTATAGCGAGCAATGTTAGACTTATTTATTCATTCAACTCACTAGAAATAAGAGATGATTTTATTTATATTCGGTTCGATTTATTAAGAATTATCTTAGAAAAACTTAATCGATCCGGTCATTATTTTGATCTCATTTATCACCAATTTTGAAATCTTCTAAATCTTTTATTTTCCTCTAATTGAAAGTGTATGATTTTTTTAAGGAGATAAAAGGCTTTAGGGATCTCAAAATAATTTTTCTTAAGGTCTTATTAATGACCATCATGGAAAAATGCAAAATAAATGATTGAAATTTAATTTGGATCATATTAATTAACATTTAACTAAAGGTTTAAGTTATTGTAACTAACCTGTAGTTACGGAAACCAACAATCTCCGGCTTGATTCAATTTTTATCTCACATTAAGAAATACATTTATAGATCATAGCGAAATGTTCTTCAAAGTTGAGTATTATATTCCATGTATCACAATAATTATATCTCTTACACACATGTATTTTTGTAATGAATAAACCAAATATGTATTCTAAGTCCAACTTAAATTATGTTTATCATATCGTTGAATGTGTACACAAAAATGCTAAACATGACAACATCATAACCACAAAGAGTTTTGCTATTGACATTCATCTTTATAATGAAATCAATAAAAATAACCAAACTTGATATGTTCTACATGATTTTTGAATATTTGTGGTGCCACATCTTTAGTGAAAAGATTAGATATCATCAATTTAGTTCTCATGAGCTCAATAATCACTATATTTTCCTTAACACAATCCCTTATGCATAAGCATTTAATGTAATTTTTTTTACTACGACTTTTATTTTTCTAAGCTAAAATGCGGCAACCAAATTGTCACGATATAGCTTCAACGACCTAGTGATAAATTTAGCAAGCTAAGCCCATAATGATTCTCTTCAACCATACAAAATGTGAAGTTGCCTAAAAAAAAGACATAAACTTGACTCCATAGTGAAAGTAGCAAATATTGCTCATTTTGTTGTCCTCTAGGACACAACTCCACCAACAAACATGAAGAATATCTAAATATTGGCTTTCAAGAATTAACACAACCAACAAAGTCAAAATTTGAGTAGCCAATCACCTC